ATTTGGCTGAAATATCCAATGCAATACGTTAAACCGGTTTGAATTTGGGTAAGGAATCTCAGAGATTCTTTGCTTCGGATCGTCCTTCACCAGACATGTCCCATTGTAGGGATGAAAAAACCATTGTAAAATTCTATTTTACAATGCTTTTTTATTATTATAATTTATATAATTTAATTTATAATTAACAGAACGATTTTATAATTTAAAATTACAGGCCATGATGGAGACACTTAATGGTTTAGGTATGCTTACTGGCACTGTTTTTGGAGCATTATTTAGTGAGGTGAGTCATTTCTTGAATTTTTCATTCAATAAATGATATTTTTACATATTCATCATTATTCATTAGCGTAATTACAGATTGGAGGATACAGTTTACCATATTTGATTTTGGGTACTTTCTTATTTATGTCTTCTCTACTTGCTAGAAAATATTTACCGTGCGAAAGTAAGTTTATGTATATTATAACGTTTTAAATTAATTTTAAATTAATTAATTATATATATATGGAATTTCAGGAGAAGACCTTAAGACAGAATTTATAGAATTAAAGAAATTAATCTTCCATCATCATTTCCTAATGAATTTATTAATCTGTTTTAGCGCTTATTTTGCCATTGGTTTCAACAGCAACACACTAGAAGAGAGTTTAAATCGTGTAAGATGCAATTATTTTTATTTTTATAAAGATTTATATATAGTTTTATGAATCTAAACTCTTTTCTCCTGCTAAAATTAACGGTTTAACTCCACTTTTATATATAAAATAAACCTCCATAGTTTCATCTAGACAAGAAGATTCTCATGCCAATTACCATTGGTTTGAATTGCGTATACGTAATTTGTGTACCACTTTGGGGTCGTTTGTGTGATTATTTGGTAATTATTTTATAAAATTTAACAAATTATACTTTAAAATTATATTTAAAATTCTTATTTTTAATAGGATAACGTTCGAGTTCTTACAGGAGTTGCGGTTTCAATTACGTGTTGTGGTTTCTTTCTTGTAGGACCTCCACCATTCATCCCTTTTAGAAGGTGTTTTACGCTTTAATATCATTATAAATTTATAAAAATTTTGAGTTAAAAATAAATTAATTTAATATAATTTTTAGTTCGCTTTGGTTGGTTATTGTTTCTGAAATTCTCCTGGATGCTGGAATTGGAGGACAGATTATATGCGCTTTCTTCGATGGTATTCAAGGTACAATGTGAGTTTAAAACATTATTTTCAAGGCTTAAATTGGTTATTTATATATGTATTTTTAATTTTTAGCTATTAATATATGAATAATAATAATAATGTTTTTGATTGTAGGAAGAGAGGCTTTCCTGATGATGTCCACACTTACTCAGCCATTTTTGGAAATCTTTTATCGGCGACTGCAACTGGGTATGTTCATAATTTGTGCGTATAAATTATAGTACAATATTTTCATGGGCATAATTAATAATTTTAAAATATTTCAGATGTTTAATAGGTCCTTTCTTAGGTCAAATATTCAGTCGATACTATGGATATGCTACTGCTACTTTCTTCGCTGCGGTGGTAGAGTTTGTTATTGTAAATACACTAAAAATTACTTTTATCAATATAATTTAATACGTTGTATTTAATTTAAAATAACGTGGCGTCAATTTTCTTTACAGACAACTATCGTTTGGGCTTATATTTTATGGAAGAGGATTTCAAATGGGGATCAAGAAGAGCGCATCAGTTTATTATCTTCAAAATCTTGATTTTTAATAATTATGCTTTTCAATAAGAGCAAAATTAAACAAATTTTTTCCAACTATTTTGAATGTCGAAAATACAGACAAATATTTTAAAAAATAATAGACTAAGGCTGTCTTTTTTTTTTATAATGCCCTCACGTATTTGATAGAAAGGCTCTAAATATCCAGGTCGAACTACTAAAAAAAATTGTTGGAGTGTTTAGTATCGTGTAATGTCAAGTACAGTGGAAACTGCTTAGGCGACCACCTGCATTCGACGGGCACCTGTCAAAACGGGCAAAAATTTCTGGCACGGAATAGTTTATCCATAGTCTTCGTATAAGTTACCTGTATTAAACGACCACCTGTGTAACGCGACCGCGGGCATCAATTTTTGGTCCGAAACAACATACAATACCTGTAATAAGCGACCACTTTCGCGAATGTATCTGGTCTAAACTAATGTAAGAACCCATCTGAACAACGTTTCCGCCTCCTAATATAATGAATTAGTCTAAACTCTCATTCGAACTCATCTCGGGCACTTCTCCCACCCTCGAAATTAGGTGCAGGTGTTAATAAATTAGTCTAGCAACAAAGGAAATTCATTTCAGTTTGTTGGAAAATGTC